CCCACAAACACATGGAAATTAAACAACACTCACTTGAATCATCAATGGGTGAATAAAGAAATAAAGGAAGAAATCAAAGACTTCATAAAATTCAATGAAAATGACCACACAACATACCCAAATTTATGGGACACAATGATAGCAGTGTTAAGAGGAAAATTCATAGCACTAAATGCCTACATAAATAATCTGGAAAAATCCCACACTAGTGAGTTAACTCAAGAACAAAAAGAAGCAAACTCACCAAGGAGAACTAGACAGCAAGAAATAATCAAATTGAGAGCTGAAATCAACAAAATAGAAACAAAGAAAACAATACAAAGAATCAATGAGAAAAAGATTGGTTCTTCGAGAAAATCAACAAAATAGAAAAACCTTTACCCAAACTAACCAAAAAGCAGAGAGAGAGAATATCCAAATTAACAAAATCAGAAATGAAAAGGGGGACATAACAACAGACAGAGAGGAAATCCAGAAAATCATTAGGTTATATTTTAAAAACTGTACTATACAAAATTGGAAAACTTTAAAGAAATGGACAATTTTCTGGATAAATATCACTTATCAAAATAAAATCAAGACCAGATAAGCAATTAAATAGACCTACAACTACTAAAGAAATAGAAACAGTCATCAAAAGTCTCCCAACTAAAAAAAGCCCAGGGCCAAATGGTTTTAGTGCAGAATTCTACAAGATTTTTCAAAGAAGAACGAGTGTAATTGTTCCTCAAATTCTTCCACACAATAGAAACAGAAGGAATATTGCCAAACTCTTTTTTATGAGGCTACAATTACCCTGATACTCAAACAATAAAAGACATGACTAAGAAAGAGAATTACAGACCAATCTCACTCATGAACATTGATGCAAAAATACTCAGTAAAATATTGGCAAACCGAATCCGAGAACACATCAGAAAAATTATCCACCATGACCAAGTCAGCTTCAGCCCAGAGATGCAGGGATGGTTCAACATACAAAAATCTGTCAATGTAATCCACTATAGAAACAAACTGGAAACAAACAAACATGATCATCTCATTAGATGCTGAAAAAGCTTTTGACAAAATACAACATCTCTTCATGATAAAGGTCTTGGAGAGATCAAGGATACATGGAACATACCTAAACACAATAAAGGCAATAAACAGCAAGCCAACAGCCAACATCAAACTAAATAGAGAGAAACTCAGAGCGATCCCACTGAAATCAGGAACAAGACAGGTTGTCCAATCTTTCCATATCTATTCAATATAGTTCTTGAGGTTCTAGCTAGAGTAATAAGACAAAAAAAAAAAAAAGGAGATCAAGGAGATACAAATTGGAAAAGAAGTCAAACTTTCACTGTTTGCTGATAATATGATAGTTTACATAAGTGGCCCTCAAAATTCTACCAATGAACTTCAACAGCTCATAAGCTCTTTCAATAATGTAGCAGGATACAAGATTAACTCAAAAAAAATCAGTAGCCCTCCTTTACACAGATGATAAATGGTCTGAGAAAGAAATTAGAGAAACATCACCCCTCACAATAGCCATAAATAACATAAAATATCTCAGAGTAACTCTAACCAAACAAGTGGAAGACCTCTATGACAAGAACTTTAAATCTTTGAAGAAAGAAACTGAAGAAGACATCAGAAAATGGAAAGATCTCCCATGCTCTTGGGTAGGTAGAATTAACACAGTAAAAATGGCAATCTTACCAAAAGCAATCTACAGATTCAATGCAATGCCCATCCAAAATCCCAGCAAAATTCTTCACAGACCTTGAAAGAATGGTACTCAACTTCATATGGAAAAGCAAAAAACCCAGGATGACCAAAACAAACCTGTGCAATAAAAGAACTTCTGGAGGCATCACAGTCCCTGACTTCAAACTTTACTACAGAGCTACAGTAATGAAAACAGCCTGGTACTGGCATAAGAACAGACAGGAGGACAAACAGAACCAAATCAAAGACCCCGATAACAACCCACATACCTACAAACACCTGATTTTTTACAAAGAAGCAAAAAATATAAAATGGAGAAAAGGCATATTCAACAAATGATGCTGCATAACTGGATATCAACATGTAGAAGAATGAAAATAGACCCATATCTATCACCATGCACAAAACTCAAGTCCAAATGGATCAAAGACCTCAACATAAAGCCAGAAGCTAAAGTGGGAAGCACACTTGAACACATTGGCACAGGAGACCACTTCCTAAATATAGCCCCAGTGGCACAGACACTGAGAGAAACAATTAACAAATGGGACCTCCTGAAACTGAAAACCTTCTGTAAAGCAAAGGACATGGTTACCAAGACAGAATGGCAACCTACAGAATGGGAAAAGATCTTCAGCAATCCCACATCAGACACAGGCAGATGACAAAGTATACAAAGAACTCATGCAATTTGCCATCAAAAGAACAAATAATCCAATAAAAAAATGGAGTACAGAGAACTCTCAACAGAGGAATCTAAAATGGCTGAAAGACAATTAAGGAAATGCTCAACAACCTTAGCCATCAGAGAAATGCAAATCAAAACAACTCTGAGATTCCATCTTACATGTAAGACTGGCCAAGATCAAAACCACTGATGACAACTTATGCTGGAGAGGATGTGGGATAAATGGAACACTTCTGCATTGCTGGTGGGAGTGTAAGCTGGTACAGCCCCTTTGGATACCAGAATGGCGATTTCTCAGAAACAACCTACCTCAAGACCCAGCAACACCACTTTTGAGTATTACGCAAAGGATGCTCAATTGTGCCACAAGGACATGTGCTCAACTATGTTCAGAGCAGCATTGTTTGTCATAGCCAGAACCTGGAAACAACCTAAATGCCCCTCTACCAAAGAATGGATAGGGAAAATGTGGTACATTTACACAGCAGAAAAAAATAACGACATCTTGAATTTTGTGAACAAGTGGATGGAGCTAGAAAATATCATATTGAATGAGGTAACCCAGACCCAGAAAGACAAATATCATATGTACTCACTCATAAGTGACTTTTAGACATAAAACAAAGAAAAACCAGCCTACAATTCATAAGCCATACTTGGATCTAATGTACATGGGAAGTAGAAAAAGACAAGATCTCCTAAGTAAATTGGGAGCATGGGGACCATGGGAGAGGGTAGGAGGGGAGGGGAGAGGAAAGGGGGGCAGCGGGGAAAAAATATAGCTCAATAAAATCAAGGAAAAAAAAAAGAGGAACAAAAATAAATAAAATTTTAAAAGACCTTTGATATTAAAAACTTGAAGCAGAAATAAAGTCAATGGAAAGGTTAGGGAAGAATGATGAACTCGCCTGGGTGAGAAAGGCGAAGATCAGAGGCGGGAGGTAAATTCACACAGCAGGAGCCTGTCGTCAGCAAATAAGCTAAGGAGTGAGGAGTGGGGATCTATTAGCCAGTCTGACTCTGTGACCACACCCCTGGCAGAAGCAAGTTAGGGGGGGTGTTAGGAATAATCTTAAAACGAGCCTCTCCGCCAATGCAAATAATTCCAACCAGACCAGATTAGACCGAATAAAAAAATGCCCAAGTTTAATAAATGCAGTGCTCCCGGTTGGCTGGGAGCATGGCGAGAGGTGGGGGGTGGACCACGCAAAACCCAAAGACCACGTGTTTCTTTTCCGGGCAGCAGCCTAAACAGCCTGTGGGAGTGGTCCTGACCCTCCCTGGGGAGGAGTTAGCCCTTGGTGGGCTCTGCAGGAGGTGGAGTTCCGACTAAGGCCATTCCCAGGCCAGGGGGCTTTCAGCTCCATTGGCACCCTAAGGATGAATGCCAGGGGCTGGGGTGTCAGAAGGCTGGGGTCTCACTTTCGATCAAACAGGGAGGAGGGCTTATTTTGGCTTTTGATTCATGAGATAAATCCATCATGGTAGGGGAAGGCAGAGGGACTAGAGCAACCCAAGATGGCAAAGTCAGACTATAGCCCTCAAGGCCTACTGATAAGCCCCCATGGCTCCTTTGCTAAAGAGCTCACCTTGTAACCACATTCCGTTAGTTCCCAGGATGTAAAACTCCGTAATCTCATAAACACATAAACACTGTACTGCTGAGAACACTCATCCCGCCTGGAACTTGAAAACTACAACTCCCCCAAATCAGCTTTATTTGCATATATCTGATCAAATGGCAAATGTTTACAAAGGGTAAAGTTTATTAAATGGTAAAACCTGGAACTTCGAGTTCAGTCAGCTGCCGAGTCTTCATCAACGGCACAGACTGTTTACTGCTCGCTCTTGTATTCACCTCAAGGCCAAGGGCAGCAGGCCCATTTTCCTGGGACTGCAGGGGTTGAAAAGTGCAGGTCCATTTCCACCTTGTCTGAAGGTCAGAGAGTTTGGAGATGGACAAGCTTAGTGGCTTGTCCTAACTCAGGAGAGCTCATTCTATTTTTTTTTTTTTTTTTTTTTGGTTTTTCGAGACAGGGTTTCTCTGTGGTTTTGGAGCCCGACCTGGAACTAGCTCTTGTAGACCAGGCTGGCCTCGAACTCACCTAGATCCGCCTGCCTCTGCCTCCCGAGTGCTGGGATTAAAAGCGTGCGCCACCACCGCCCGGCAGGAGAGCTCATTCTAGTAATTCTGGTGCCACCCTGACAAATGGTCAGGATATGCAAATGTACTTTTGCCATTGACTGGGAGTTATCCTTTTTATCACATTACCCTCCCCGCTTTATGTTGGGTATAAAAGCTGTGGAAAAATAAACAAGGGTGAATTTTAGGATTCCAGTCACTGGAATGCCCTCCCAATACTTTCTGCGTTTTCTGTCTTGTTTTTATGCATCTTCATATTCTTTACTTGTATTTCTTCAATTCCCATGCTCCTACCCTGGTAGAAGTAATTTTGTCAAGGCCTGTGTGTGTGTCTGTCTCGTCAGCGGCAAATCTCCACCACTCACATCTCTTGTTCACATTGTGGCTGTTTCAAAAGGTGTAAAAATGAGCTTACTATTTACTAAAAGAGCTTATAACACCTATAACAGTAACTTCATTTTAATTTTTTTATTAAGAAACTTTTTTTGTTATTTCTCTCCAAATAAGCTAAAAAGAAATACCTGTAAAAATACCAAAAACGCAGTTTAAAACCCCAGACTGATATGATACATTTTATATGATTTACAGCTAAGACTAAAATGTCCAGTTCTATGAGGGACTCTGGATGATTTTGATGAGTTTACTCGTAGGAAACAGAAAGACTGTACACTTCAGGCTGTGGCTGTAGCTCAACAGTATAGTCTATGCTTAGCATGTACAAAATGTTGGATTCAAGCCCTAGCATTAAAGGGAAGGCAGAAGAGATTTGTATTCAATTCTAGTTAAGTTTTGAAAAGCTGCATGTTTGCTGACAGGCACTACTGATGAAATCAATCCTCTATGGAGGAACTGCCAGGGTTTTCCATACAACAGATTCAAGCCTTGTACCCAGATTTTTCTCCCTTATAGTTTAAACAAAAGCACAAATACACAAACGGGAAAAGATGCACACAGCACAGAAAGACTAAAATAACAACAACCCCTCCTAACACAGCAGATCTTACGTGTCCGAAACCCTTAAACAGTCAAACGGTCGAGCAGTTCACAAGCCAAAGCTGACCTTTGGTCTGCAAACAGTCATGTCCATGGACGTGTGCAGATGGCCTTTTGTCTCTCGGTCACAGAGAAACGCCACACGGTCTTCTACTTTAGAAAGAAAGTTTAAAGGGCAACGTGTGCATGCTGTTCAAAACCCGCTAACTCCAGGCAGCTCCTCAGACATCACTGGTCTAGTTGTGGCTCCAGATGGTCCCAGGTGTTGACTCTGAAATTAGGAATCACATTTATTAACAAGGCTCCCTTCTGCCCCCACCCCGAGACAAAGTTTCTCTGTGTAACAGCCCTGGCTGTCCTGTAACTCGTTTTTGTAGACCAGGCCAGCCTCAGATTCAGAGATCTGCCTGCCTCTGCCTCCTAACTGCAGGATTAAAGGCGTGTGCCATCATGCCTGGCTAACAAGGAATTTTTAAAAGAAAAATTTCCTTTAAAATTAGTGTTATAATTCTAGCCACAGTGGCGGGCACTTTCGGGTTCCAGGGCTACTCATGTGCGAACAAGCGCTCAGGCAAAATACTTAGCCACCCCGGAGACCTTAAAAAGCCCTGCATGGCCTACGTGCAGCATGGTTGCATCACCTACGTATGATGCAGCTACATAAGCCCTTGTGCGCCATGTGTGAGCTCCGTCATCTGCGTATAACGTAGCTACGTCAACCCCCCCCCCCCCCCCCCCGTGTGCATGCACTCGGCAGCCTTTAAGAGCTGGCCACGCCGTCTTCAAGCTCTTTCCGTACACCGAAGTCCCCAGGCCTGTTCACGTGTCTCTAATAAACTCTTCAGTAGCTTTGTTATATGCTTAGTTCTCTCTCACACCACGTAATTTCAATTAGGGAATCTGAAGAGGGGAGGTGGAGCAGAGGCAAGGGGAACTGAGTTTGAGGTCAGCCTGGCCTACATAGTGAGACATTGTCTCAAAAAAAAAAAAAGAAAAAAGACAAAAATTAAAAAGAAAACAAAAAAAATAGGGAATTTATTCCTTGTAAATGGGAAGATGTACTGCCAGATATATGGAGCACTGCTGCCATCTTCCCTTCTTTGTGAAGAAGGCTCTCACTATGCAGCGCTGGCTGGCATTCTGCCTGGCACCTGAGAGGCTCATATTGGTCTTGAGAGCCTTATCATCCTCCTGCTTTGGCTTCCCAAGTGCTAGAGTTACAAGTATGAACCACTACACTCAGCTTTTATTTTAACATTGTACAAAAAGACATGAACCGTAACACATGCACCCCCAAGCAGTTGGGCAAGAGCCTCGGGACTGTCGGCACTTTCCTTCAGACCAGACTCCACTCCCAGCTACAAGTAGCACTGTCTGAGCAGGAAAGACTTACAGACACAGGGCTCTGCCGGCTCAGCCCAGCCCTCCCTCGATGCCTCGGATCCTCCTGGCCAGCTGCACGTCCTTGGGGAAGAGGGTGACTCTGCGAGCGTGTAAGGTGAGGAGATAGGCGTCCTCGAAGAGGTGCACTAGAAACGCTTCTGCTGCCTGGGCACAAAGAGAAGACTACAGGGATGAGGGGCCCGGCCTGTTTTCTCTTGGAGACATCCTGATTCAAAGGACTGAAGTAAAGACCGGGGCGAACCCATGGCCGCCCATCACACCCCCTCCACCGTCACGTATTACATGTTGGCTGTTCTTTTGGGGAGGTCAGGAACAGTCTGGGGGTACCTCACATGCAGTCCTTTGGCATTCTGGGATACTCTTTCCCCTCTCAGCCTTCACCTATCCCTCTCCTTCTTACCTCTTGAAGGGCCAACAAGGCGTGGGCTTGCCAACAGAAGTCCACACCGCGAGTGAATTTCTGACAGATTTCTCTAACCTATGGAGGGGTGGGGTGGGGGTGAGCAGAGAGTAGCAGGTGAGCGAGTGTTCAAAGAGTAGAGGGTCTTTCTCCATGTGTCTCGCGGCATCCTCATTTCCTCCATTACCTGCTGCCCTTCACATTGGGGCCTGGCTCAGAGTAGGGGCCGACTTCTGGGAGCTTTAACGGGCAGAGGAGAAAGAGCACAATCTCCAGGGCAGGGAGGGAAACTGGAGGAGAGGGCTCTACTACAGAGGGGATGAGGAGAAAACAGCCTCTGAAACACAGAGGATGTGCAGCGTCCCAAAGGGTTAGAGGTGACCTTCAGCCGCGGACCCGAGACTTAGGAGAGGTGACCCAGGGCAGAGGGAGGGCCCCAGAACTCACAACACGGCTGAAAGGCTGTCTCCTCAGCAGGAGGTCTGTGCTCTTCTGCAGTTTCTGCACTTCCTTCAGCCACAGAAATTTCCGCCTTCGGCGTAGACTGGACGCGCCTGAGCAGAAGAGTTAGGTCTTAAGGGAGGCGCAGTGGAAATAAGCGGGTCAGCTGAGACAACGGACGGACGTTAATGCAGGACTCTGCCCCAGAGCAGGGAAGTCGCTCACTCCCGCAGACAGGTGCTTAAGACAGGCTTGTTAGGCGAGCGAGGTCGGAGTCTTTGGGTTGGGTATTTTCAACCCCAGTCACTTCCCAACAGCTCCTTCCTGCTGGGCCCACAGTACTCCAAGCACCTATTTTTCCCATTCCCACCTAGGTTGAAAAGTTCGTTATTTCCATTTTTAGGCACTTTTTAACAGCTGGAAGGAACCAAGTACTACCTAATATGAATCCCTTGTCTTGATTACTCTGGAGCTCCGGGAAGTAGTGATAGTTGGCCAGTGCTCATTAGAGGCCGTGTTGGAACTTTGGAAGTAGCATAATTCAGGGCTAGTGCTGGGAATGCCGGCTGTGAAGCCACAGCCTTTGGTAAAAATTCAAATTCTCACTAGAAAATAAACACACACACACACACACACACACACACAAATCTGTTCTAGAGATGCAGCTCTGCAGTAACGTGCTTGATTAGCATGCACGAGGCCATGGGTTCAATCCCTCGTGGCAGACAAAGAAGGAGGATACCTCTAACTCTAACGTTGGAGAAGAAACTTAACTGATATTAGACTATTTAAAATGGTTGATATAAACATTTACTTTTAAAAACCTGAAAGATACCCTAAAAACAGTGCCAGGAGCAAATGAAGAGCCTGAAATATATGGAGTAGAAAACAAGACTGCCAAATGAGTTAAGGTTCAGAGTGTGTACCATTCTTATAGAAGAACCAAGTTTGGTTCCTAGCACTCATGTCAGGTCACGTAGGTCTAGGGGAACTAATGACTGGTGTCCTTGGGCACCTGTACTAATGTGCACACATATAATTAGAAATAAAAAGTGGGCTAGAGACATGGCTCATTGGCTAAGAGTATTTGTTGTTCTTGCAGAGGACCTAGGTTTGGTGCCCAGTACCCATATGGTGGCTCACAACCATCTAACTCCAATTCCAGTGAATCCAATGCCCTGGCACCTGCATCTGACCTCTGTGGAGGTAAACACACACACACACACACACACACACACACACACACACGCATGAATAATGTTGTGGTTGAATAAAAATGGCCCCCATAGGCACATAGGGATTGGCACTACTAGGAGGTGTTATGGCTATGTTGGGGGAGGTGCGTCACTGGGGGTGGGGCTTTGAGGTCTCAGAAGCTCTAGCCTGGCAGATGTGTCACCGTCCTGCTGCCTTTGGATCCAGATGTAGAACTCTCAGCACCTTCTCCAGCACCATGGCTGCCTGACGCTCCCTGCCCAGATGATAACAGACAAAACCTCTGAACTGGAAGTCAGCCCCAGTGAAATGCTTTCCTGTATAAGAGTTGCCGTGGTCATAGTGTTTCTTCACAGTTATAAAACTCTAATTAAAACAAATTAAAAAAAACCCACAAAAATCTTGGTGGGTGTTTTGCCTGTGTGCATGTTTATGTCTCATGTACATGCCTGGTGCCTGCAGGCGTCAGGAGTCAGATCCCCTGCTCTGTGTTACAGGTGATTGTCAGCTGCTATGTGGCTCTCAGGAATCAAACCCTAGTCCTCTGGGACAGTAGGCAGTGCTCGCAACTGCTTAGCCTTCTCTCTAGGCCCCCAAAATAAAAATAAATCTTAAAAAAATAGATAACTGGGTTAAATTCAACTGAAGGGTTAGCTATTAAGATAAACAAGACAAATTAAATATACTAAATCAGTGAAAATGAGAAATTAAATAAGTAAATAGTATAACTGCTCAATAATGATAAACAATGACTGATAAAATGAATAAGCCTGATTAGTTAAACAGCTTGGCTAAGACAATTAACAAGACAACACACACACACACACACACACACACACACACACACAAGGGTACTGGCTGGAGGTGCAGCTCAGAGCAACCACCTTGCACATACAAAGCCTCTGGTTCTATCCCTGGTACTGCAAAATAGAAACAATGAAAAGGACAGCATTTAAGGATAAAATTAGCTTCAAAGAAACAGTTATTTAAGATCCAGCCAATAGAGAATACTATCCCAAGCAGTGAGAACACTGCAAGGGCCATGGAAGAAGGGAGACAAACAAATGGCCTGTTGCTAGGTGACAGCAGTGGAGACTTAACTGTGGGTGAGGTTAGGATCATGAAGACAAAGAGGGAGGATCCTGTTCTACTCTGGTGTCTGTTGCTGTGATAAACACCACAACCAACAATGTGGGGAGGGAGGGATTATTTGGCTTACATGTTACAGTCCATCCTCCAGAGAGGCCAGGGCAGGATTCCAGGCAGGAATCTGGAGGCAGGAACCATGGAAGAGAGCTACATACTGACCTGCTTTCCTAGCCCAAGCTCATTGCCCAGGGGTGGGGTGGCACCACCCACAGTGGACTGGGCTCTCCCACATCAATTAAGAACATGCTTCACAGACATGGCCATAGGCCAGTCTGATAGAAGGAATCGTTCAGCTGAAGTTCCCTCTTCCTGGGTGACAAATTTATGTCACGCTGACAGCTGAAGCTAACTATAACAGACCACAACAAGGGCTACATATTAGTCTCTCTCGGAAAAGAGAGATTTTGAGAAAGTCAAGAGGAGTAAGAGGGCTGTAAGATTCATGATGCAAGAACAACTGGTTATAAAACAAACTGGTCAGAGGCGCCATGGAAAAGAGCGGGACCCAAAAGCCCTGAAGACGGGGTTCCACGAGCCAACGCGTTGTTGGGGGTCATAGAAGAATTTCGAGCAGGGCTTAGTCCTTCTAGCCAGGCCCACAGGTCCAATTCCAACACCAGGGAGGCAGAGACAGGGCATCTTCTTCCCCTCAGGGTTAGCCTGGGGAACATGGAAGGCAAGGTCACACCAAAAATTTTATTCTACGTATATGGGTCTTTGCCTCCATGTATGTCTGTGGGTGCAGGGCCTGCAGACACCAGAAGGCATGGGATACCCTGGAAATGGAGTTAAAGATGGTTGTGAGCTTCTATGTGGGTACTGGGAGCTGAACTCAAGTTCTCTGGAATATCAGTCAGTGCTCTTAACCTCTGAACCATCTCTTCAGCCCCTTCTTTGCCAAATTGCTTTTTTTTTTTTTTTTAAAAAAAATTGAATTCCACCATTCCAACCAGGCAGTGGTGGTGCACGCCTTTAATCCCAGCACTAGGGAGACAGAGACAGGTGGATCTCTGCGAGTTCCAAGGCCTGGTCTACAGAGCGAGTTCTAGGAGTTCCAGGACAGGCTTCAAAGCTACAGAGAAACCCTGTCTCGAAAAACCAACCAAACAACTGAAAATAACATTCCAGCTGCCATGTAAGACAAGAACTGGAAAGGGTTAAGAGTAGAAATAGAGGGGCTGGAGAAATGGCTCAGCCGGTAAGATCACTGGTTCAATTCCTAGCACCCACATGACAGTTCACAACTGTCTGTAACTCCAGCTCCAGGTGATCCGATGCGATGTGTTCCCAGCACCCTTACAGGGCAGCTCATAACTGCCTGTGATTTCGGGGTTCCGAGCCTTCTTCTGGCCGTCGCCAGCACCCTCATACATGAAGCACATACTCAGACACATACACACATACATAAAAAATTAAATAAATCGGGGCTGGCGAGATGGCTCAGTGGTTAAAAGCATTGCCTGCTCTTCCGAAGGTCCTGAGTTCAATTCCCAGCAACGACATGGTGGCTCACAACCATCTGTAATGAGGTCTGGTGCCCTCTTCTGGCCAGCAGGAATACATACAGACAGAATGTTGTATACATAATAATAAAAAAATAAATAAATATTAAAAAAATTAAATAAATCCTAAAAAAGGAGAAAAAAAACCCAGAGATCCGTGTCCATCAGAATGAGCAATATCTTTGCTCAAGCTACCTGTTCTGTCTGCTCCTGGCTTTTCTCACTGGCTGGAAAACCGCCAAGAAACAAACTAGTTAACGTGATTAGCGACAAGCCGTAACCAGAGGCAGCGCCGGTACATAGCTTCGATAGGGCGAGCGCTGGACCGGTCTCGGAGGTTCAGGCAGACACGCTTACCTTGACGGATGCTGCTCGGTCGCGAGGGTCCGGGGACCGGGCTGGAGGGTCGCCTCGTCGGGGTCCTCGACGGGCGGCGGGGGCTCGGGTCTGGCCGCGAGGGTCCGGGCACCGGGCTGGAGGGCCGTCTCCTCGGGGCCTTCGCCTTGCGACGTGGGTCCATGGTTGACAGGAGGGTCCAAGCTCCGCCGCCTCCGCTAAGCCTTCCGAGTCCTGCTGCCGAAGCCGGACAAAACAGCGAGGCGACCGTGCACCGTGCACATCACCGACAACTGAGCTCCGCCGCCATCAGTTCAAATTTCACCCGCCCCGCCCATCGCATTTTAAAAAACCAACTCCGTGACTCTCAGTGGCTGGCTCTGGAACGCCACCGTGGAGCGACAGCCGGAAGGACCAGTGATAATGAAGGTCTGACCGCAGATTCAGCCAATGGGAACCTGGAAAAGCAAAAGAAGGCGGGGCTTTCTCTCTTTGCTTGTTGCTCTTTGGCTCTGGTGCCCTCTGGGCAAAAGGACATCTCAGTTCTGTTGTGGGTGGTAAATTTGTAGAATTCGTTCCCTCAAACGTTTTATGCGTTCATATCAACGTTGGTGTGCCTTTGAAGATGGGGAAACAGATCACTCAAGAAAGTGACAACTCTATACAGCTCCCGTGACTTTACAATATGAGATCAACCAGCCTCTGACATTTCTACGTTTGTAGAGACAGCCAGGATGATGGGATGTGAGGGCAAGGTCCAGGCAGGGCAGGCGCCAGCACTCTTCTTGGGTCGTGCTATCGAACACCATGACGATATTGTCCGAGAAAAACTGGCTTTTTCCTTTCTCCTCGGAGTTATATGAATTCGGGTCATGTCTCCGTAATTAGAATAAAGAGAATTTCAATTTCGTCATTTTGCTTTTTTGAGGCTTCTAAATGTTCTACCATGAACGTGTACTCTAATCAAGAAAATCCTTATATAATCAGTGATTTCACAGAAGCCTTCTGCAACGTTGGGGTGGGTGGTGTAAAATGGTGCAGCTGCTATGGAAATGTGTCACGGTTCGAATCTGAAACGCCCTACAAAAGCTTGGTCCTGCGTGCAGCAGTGTTCAGGAGTGGGGACTTTGGGAGATGATTGGGCCGTAGGTGCTCTGACTTCCTGTGTGGATTTAATCCTAGCGCTTGGGAGGTAGAGGGAAGAGGTTTGCTATGAGTTCAGGGGCAGCCTAGCCTAGTGGGTTCGAGGCTAGTCTCAAACAAACAAAAAAACAAACCAAACATGACATAGCTCAACAGTAAAGCACTTACCTCATACACAAGGTTCTGTGTTCAATCCCAGTATGCTACCCGCTGAAAAGTTTCTGTAGCCCGATAAACCTCTCCACAGACGCAATAATCCAAATCAGACCAAATCAAACCAAATTAGAGAAAGCCCAGGTTTAAGGGATGGCCTTCCAGCTCCTCAGAGTAGAGGTGGAGGTGGGGGGGACTACGTGTTTGTTCTCTGGGGTACAATTAAAATACCCTGTGGGAGTGGTCTTGAGCATCTCTGGGGAGGTCATCCTTTGGTGGGCTTTCTCGGAGGTAGAGTCTGGACCGAGGCAACTCCCAGGGAGTTACTGTTTAGTCGGGGCAGAGTTTCCAACTGGGAAGTGAAAACAGTTCTAGCGACTGATGGTGGCTGTGGTTGTGTACCATGGATGTTCTTAAGGTCATCAAAATTTTATATTTGTCACAGTCAGGCAGTGGTGGCGCACACCTTTAATCACAGCACTTGGGAGGCAGAGGCAGGCCTGTGAGTTCAAAGCCAGCTCTGATCTACAGAGCAAGTGCCAGGACAGGCTCCAAAGCTACAGAGAAACCCTGCCTCTAAAAAAAAGTTATATTTACTACGGGGCGGGGGTGTCTTGCTAAGTCCTTAAGGTATAGTCAAATCACAGAAGGATGCTCCCCAGTCCCCAATTATCCAGGTCTCAGATCAACAACTGTTAAACAGAGGAAATCTCCACTTACGAACTCTGCTTTAGACAGACAGCCCTCTCTTAAACTGGAAGTAGAAAGTTAGATGGAAGACAGAATCTCGTTCTCATAAGAAACGGATGAAACTGACTACTTCTGAAGCAGTAGTTACGGGTGGCTTAAGGTAGAAGAGGGAGGGGTGTTTATTAATGTATACATTTTTTTTTACATATTTTGGGTTTTTAACCAATTGAACTATTGATTTTTTGTTGTTGTTAAATAAACTAAATGGAAACAAAGTGGGCTGAAGATGTCAAGGTGAACTTGCCATCTTTGAGCTCTAGATGAATTGAATGGTACAAGGAGGAGTAAATTATAGTTCATAGGAACCCTCCAAACTAATGGGGAGTCCAGCGTAGGTGAGAGAAAGGGGGAGACATTAGTTGGTTGTGACATCTCTGAGGCAGATGCCTTCAGTCAAAGCTGACATCACATAGGAACAAGCCGCGGAGGCAGGATTTGAACCCCACACCTAGCGATGGTGTCTATCTTCTGTCACCGCACACTGCTTCTTGTGGTGGTTTTTACTTTCTTTCTACTGAAGAGAAAACCGGGTGCAATTCACACATCTGAAGTCCCAGGCTGCTCTAGAGTCTGAGACAAGAGACCATTCAGGCCCAGGGATTGTGGCCTATAATGTGCTTTGCTGTTTTGGCGTCAACATGATGACCTGGGAACTACCACGTTGCTCATGCTAACTGGAAAAGATACACTCTGGCTTTCGCAGTGCAGTGAGAAGCTCTAAGGGAGTGAGGGAGGAGGGTGACAGCTAACTCGAGGAGCTATGTGACTGAGGCGTCACCACACCCGACTCCAGGAGGTCTGGCTTGAAAAATGTCAATTGTAATAGGCACAGTGGTTATGACCCGTCAGCACCATCTACTTGAGAGGCCAAGGAAGACCTCAGTTTAAGGACTGCCTGGGCTACAGGGCCCAAAGTCAGTCCAGACAACTGAGGAAGACTCAAAATCAAAAGTAAAAACAGGACTGGGGCTATAGATCTTTGGTAGAGGGCTTGCCTAGCAAGCATGAGACCTTGTGTTCAATTTCTAACACACACACAATTTCTGGGCCACTTTCATGATCAGAACACACAGTCCCTACTTTGACTGTAGTCAGCTTAAGGGCATTGCTTGAGTATGGGCTTTATATAAGCTTTTATATAAGCTTGGCTTTCCTAGTTTCCTGTTTGCTAGCTTCGTGACTTTGGAGATTCACTTACCTGCTATAAATGATAGTTTCCATCTTGTGCAGAACAGGTAGGGACACTTGTCTCATCATGGGGAGAACGAACTGACTAGGAAGCTGCATTTCCTCCTTTCTGTTTTGGGCTATGGTTTTCTGTTCTGGTCATGGATCCCATGTACCCTGTTCTAGCACTATAGGTATAATAAGCTGGGAACAGTGTTTCCTTGAAGTTGTCTTGTGGCTTCTACATGCATATGCACACACGTGTACACACACCTGCTTCTACACATGCACTTAAACACACACACACACACACACACACATTCATATGCATTTAAAAAGGAGATGAGGGTCACTAGAGTTGATTCTGCCCATGTGGCTGAAATGATCCCAAAGTGGGAGTTACCATTGGGACAGCCGTGCTGAAGAGATGGATGTATTTCTAAAGGAATGCCCCCCTGCCTCCTGCAGCAGGGTGTGGAGGCGTGCTGTGCTCTGGTCTTCAGTCCTTTCCATCACGGACAGCCACTGCTTCCTCCGCCGTCACTTCTGGAGGAAAGCCACTTTAAACCTGACCGCTACACATCTCCCTCCTTGCTACTGGGCTGAAGGGGACATTTCTTTGCATCCTGGGGGAGCACTGTAGAAATGGTTTGGCAGCACCGAGAGGAAAGCCCCGAGGAGGAGGCAGGTAGCCTATGCTGCAGCTCCTTGCCGTGTTTGTGTAGAGGAGCGGTGGTGGAGCGTCCTGATGAACCTGAAGCCGTAAATGAACCTTAACTCCTCGGATGCCCAAGAGGTAGACCAACCTCATGAGCTTCCCCAGACTTGTGGAAGCCTTCCTCAAGCCCTTCAGATGGGTGCACCTGTGGGGAGCAAGGGGCACATAATACGACAAAAGGTCATGTGTCCTCATTTCTGGGTGATGGGTTTTATCTTGTGACAAATAGCCTAGTTATGGCATTGTGTAAACCATAAACGGCAGCAGTGCAGAATGGAGCCCAATGCTGTATTCACACTCACTCCCGAATTAAGAGAGGATTTCAGAAGTGAAGTACGGACTGTACAGGCCACTGCTGCCAAACCCGGGCCTCCACTTCTCTAAGATCAGGACAGCCACAGCAGCACTGCTCCAGAACTTAGGTTCCCCATGCCTAAAAAGTGTTCAGTGTTCAAGACCGGCAATGGTGGCGCACGCCTTTAATCCCAGCACTCAGGAGACAGAGGCAGGTGGATCTGAGTTCGAGGCAAGCCTGGTCTAAAGAGTGAGCTCCAGGACACCCAGGGCTACACGGAGAAACCTTGTCTCACCATCCCCCAAAAAGTGTTCAAGAAGGGCAACTCAGTTTTCTAAGATTCAAATCTCCTGCTGATTTTGGGTTTTGGGAGGATGTGGGCGAGTGGGAATGGCAGCTCATGCCTGCTTACCACAAGTGGGGCAGCTCATGGAAGGTGAGATTCTTGGCTACCAACTCTGGTCTGTCCATCTGTAGTAGAACGGGATGGGCAACGAACCAGGGTGCCTGGCATTGTCTCTAACAGGCTGTGCCCTTGGGGAAGTCCTTTTCATCCTGGGCATTAGTGTCTTTAAGAATTTTTACAATTGTTATTGCCTATGTATGATTTGTATGTGAACGTAGTTGCATGTGTGCTACAGCATGTGGAAGTCAGAGGGCAACATTTAGGAGTCAGTTTGCTCCTTCCACTGAGCAAACCTGGGATTGAACTCGGGTCACCAGGCTTGCGAGGCAAGTGTTTTTACCTGTTGAGCCCGGCTTTGGGCTCTACAGTCTTCCTTGGAAGGAATAAATGAAGTCTGTGCTTCTGACACTCAATACCCACTCTAGATGCTACTCCTGGGCCTCTCTTATGCCTTCTCTATTTCATTAAAAAAAAGTTCAATATTGACAATTTTTCATTTCTTTTTAAAAAATAAACACAAAAACAACACCCCTCAGTTGGCTATGGGTGGGGCACCAGTTTTGGTTTTGTACAGACGGTGGCCACACTGTCTCTGCCACCTTGAGTAAGTGCACAGAATCCTCATTTTCGTCTCCCTGGGTCACACACTGTAGTCCAGAGAAGTGTGGGGCCCCGGGACTCCAGGGCCAATGGAAAGAAGAGAGTCTTTCTCAACATACCATGAGAATCTGTGGAAATCAATGGTAAACCGAGGACCTTGCTTGTCAAGGCCTCTTCTCTTTGCAGTCTAAGAAAGGTGTTAGGGTTTTGTTTATTAAAGGACTGCCACCCAACTATTCCCAAGAGCAACACTGGGGTTGAGGACTGCCAGGGCCCTGGTCCTGCTGTTTTTCTTCTATCCAGGGTGGGAGTACCTGCAGGGTACAGTATGTTAGGCACTTAGCCCAGCCACAGAAATCCACCCGAAAGACCCACAGAGACCCATATGGTAGTGGGCCACAGGTTTCAAATCAGACAAACCTGACTGGCTGGGACACTGGCTCTATGTGTACATCACTTAGTCTTCTGGGAGTGCCATAGATTTTCCGTCTGTACCTGCCTCTGCAGATATCATGAAAGGGAGTGAGGACTGAACATTGAACCTAATGCTGGAAATGCCAAATTACTCCATAGGGAAGAATTCTGGGTAGTCTGTCATTCTGATGGGCACTCTGGGTCCAGACTGCTGAGAGCAGGGCTGTGAGTCACAGCTGCCCTAGGTCTCACAAACACAGAGCCACACGGCTGCTGAGATCAGGGTTCTCCCGGGTCTTTGGCTCAAGCTGACAGCCAGAGACAGATCTCTCTTTGCCGAACAAGTTACAACTCCAGGCTTCAGTCTCCTTACCTTAAAATGGACACTGCCGGGTGTGGTAGTACATTCCTGTCATTTTAGCACTTGGGAGGCTGAGGTAGGACCGAGTTTGAAGACAGAGGAAGTTAAATGCTGCTGCTACACAAGACCTTGCTTCAAACAAAACAAAATGGGTTCATGAAGTGATTTTCCAAGGCTGCTTGGAATGTCCCTGTAGTCCTTCCCAAGCAGAGAGGCCTTGGGGTATGAAGAACAGAACATCAAAACATCGACGAGGTACTGGGCATGATGGTGCACACCTTTAATTCCAGCACTGAGGAAGCAGAGACAGGTGGATCTCTGTGAGTTTGAGGACAGCCTGGTCTATATCATGAGTTCCAGGCCAGCCTGGTCTACATCATGAGTTTCAGGACAGTCAGGGCTGCAAAGTGGCAAAAAAAAAAAAAAAAAAACCCACCATGGGAGGAGGGGGAGGTACCACTCCTCTTTTCTAATGCTAGTGACAATCAGAGGCCCGCAGAATGCTGGGGTCATAAGGCACGGAAGCCACATCATGTACACCTGTGTGTGTGTGCCCCAGAGTGGAAAGACCTGGTGCACACACTGAATCCGCAGCCAAGTCTGAGCCAGAGCCTAGGTCCTCAGACAGGCTTAAGGAGTATCTTACAAGTCTCAAGAATACATCTCTTAGTTTTGCTTTGAACCTGTTCACTGGATTCTCTGTAGCTTATGATTCATAAGCTAGGCAACCTACCGTAACAAGTTAGTGTCTAACACAGAAATACTAGGGTTGTAAAGTCCTGCCATGCAAGTTCACATTTTGGCTCTAGCGCAGCAGGAAGAGCTGGGAGGACTGAGAGTGGCTGCCATAGCCAGGCCTGTGGGGGCTGGGTCCCAAATTCCAGGCTTCAGAAGTAAAAGAGGACCTGGTGTTCTGCCGCCCTCTCTGGCAGCAGCTGCCAGAAGAGGTCAGTAGGGAGGGGTGTGGCCAGGCCTTGGGGACAAGGCACTCACAGCCCAGCAGTCTGTATGGCCTCAGCCATCTGGGGGCAGCAGAGATCCCTACCAGGGGCTCAGCTGGCGTCATTGATAGGAGTCCGGTTGTCACCCAGCAGTCTCTCTTGTTCACCCTCTTGCGTGGGGCGATGCCAACCCCTGGACAGGCAGGCTAGCAGTGGATGGTGCAGCCCATTGTAGAGGGCAGTGCCCATGAGGAGGATGAGGAAACCAAGGATCTGCAGTGGGTGGAAGACCTCCCAGCCCAGTGCCAGACTCAAGGCCCAGATGACTACGGTGCGCAGGCTGTCTAGCACCATGCGGGTGGTGGCACTCAATTCCTTAGTGACACTGATACCCGCGAAGTTGAAGAAGGCGATGCTGCTGATGTTGCCCAGCAGAGCCAGGGCAATCAGGGGCTGTCGGCCCACCTGGCAGAAGGCATCCAGCGTGTCCTCCAGCATCCCGCGAGGGTTTCCGCTAAAGGAGCCAGCTGGGATGTAGTACATGGGCACGAGGAGCAGTGAGAGGATCACAAAGCCAAAGAAACCTGGGGAAACAAGGAAGGGTCTCACATCCTCCACCCTGCCTGGGGCTTCCCAGCACAGCCCACAGGTTGGCAGTCTCTCATCTCAGAACCACTGTGTTTGTTCCGTTCCTGTGATCCACTCCTGGAACCTGTCCCTCTGCCTTGATGTCAGACCTACATTGACAACTCACTGGTTTCCAAACTCAAAAGTAGCGACTCAAACCATTGTCCTGTCAGGAATCCTCTTCCCTCCTCTTGCCTGTTGGAAGCTGTGGCTCCAAGGTCATCTTTTCTACCTCAAGAGACTCAGAATTGCTCAGCAAATGAGGTACCTGAGTATAACTCGTCTAAGTTCAAATGCACTGCCTGGCTCCTTCCTTGTTGTCACCGCCTTGAAAGAGGGGCATGTATCTTGTTCATTTTCCTTCTCTGTCTCCTCTCACCTTGCCCATGCCCCTCTGGGGATGGAGACTCACCCTATCAAGTGGTTACTAGCCCCTGCCCCAAGCTCCATTTTCATGCTGCCCCAGCATTCCCGCCTACCAGCTATTACTCCCAGGCCTGTGCCCACACGCACCCTCAATGCCCACGGCCCTGAGTGGGTGGACGTTGTGTTTGTAGACAAATTTCTCCTCCAGCACCATCTGGATGGCGACGATGATCTGGGCCATGATGATCAACAAGTCACCTGAGCAAAAGAGGATCAAGTGAAGTGGGGCACCATGGAACTAGAGATGGGGGTGGTGACAGGAAGATCTAGGGACAGAACAGCTGGTCAGCTTCTGAATTTTCAGGGTTGAATATGGGTCCTGGCTTCTTGGCCCAAGGGCAGGACAACAGGCAGACCTGGGCTTCCAGGAGGCCCAGAGATACAGAGACATGCATTAGCCTGAGAATTGGGCAAGCAACAGGCTTGAGACAAGAATACTTTAGGTTTAATTGTGAAACTGAGAGGCTCAGGGGTCACTTCATTGTAAAGTGTACTGCAGTGGTTCCTGCTGGGGTCTGGGGTGCTGTGATGACAAACGCACGGGCATCTGTCAGTAACTGGTCCTTCTGTCCCTCTCCAAACCAGCAGTTTGTAGATACGAGCCGCAGGAGCAGACAGCTCCGTCATGCTGCCTGTCTGTCTCTTCCTTGGAATGGTCACAGTCTTCTGGTCTCCCCCACATTCTACCCACCATGTACCCATCAGGTACATGACCCACCCCCAGGACACACAGATGGCAGAGCCTGGATGAATCTGTGGGATGGTTTTAAGCTAGGCTTCCAGAGAGGAGGCGCCAAGGGAAGCAGCCTCAGGTCCCCAGCTGGCCTCACCTGTGATGACGTCACTGAGCTTGTGTTGACTGTCATGCTTGCTCAGAAGGTCAGCGAGGCCAACCACCACCAGTCCTGCGATGGTGGCCAGGATGCCCACCCACTGGCTTGGTGCCAGCCTCCGGCCCAGGAAGGCCACTGAGAATAGGCCTGTGAAGATGATCACTGCACCCCGCAGCATCTGGAAGCTGGAGGCACTGGTCATGTTCAGGGCTAGCAAAGGAAAGACACGATTAATGACTGTTAAGCGCGAAGGCTGGCTGCCACTAAGGTCTTCGGGGAGTAGGGACAAGATGAGCTTGCTCACTAAGCCTTGGGTGTGCACATGTGAAGACAGTGGGGGAGTGGTAGGGTGGGGTGGGGTGCTAATTCACTAGCGGCAGGTGACTTACCCACATACATGAGGCTGGTTCCAGTCATGTCACACAGGGCTGGGGGCAGGAAAAGTAGGGCGCTGAAGGACTGCTGGGGCTCTATGCTGGAGTCAGACTGTCTTGTGGCTCTGCACTGGAGCAGGCAGAAGGCAGCAAGGCACGAAAACTCTCCCAGGAACATGCCCACTGCCTGCAGGAATAAGACTTGAGGACTCAGCACAGAAGGGGCTTCGGGGCCACCCTTATCAGTACTGTTAGTTTTAATATAACCACATTTCAGGCAAGAGCTTACCTAGAATCCCCAAATGTCAACAGACAAAACCAGAGTAGCTGTGGGTAGCCAGCCAGGCCCCCGGGCCTGTCTCAGGGTCCTAGGATATCTCAGTGGGATACCCTATGGGGTGTGGCATGGTATAAACTCAACCCTTCAGGTCAGCCTTTACAACCAACTTAGACAGGTTCAAAGACTCATGGAAGGTGTGATAATCAACTGCTAACACCCTGGGGATAAATCCGAGCCTTCTAACTCGCGATACAGAAGTGGGGTATCTTCCATGTCCCCACCCTGGTGGCGTTCTGGGCTCAAAGAGATGTACCAAACACTTTTGTCACTGGAGCTAGTGCTTTCCATGTGTCCAGATGGGACATGGTGAGAACATGACCACTCATCAGGATCATGCAGACCTCCCACGGAGAACTATGCCCCTTCCTGGGGTAATCTTGGACTCTGGCCCTATTCTGGGAGAGGAGAGAGTTAGATGGCTTTTGGGGGACCAGGAGAGCTTCATCCCTAGACCAGGAAAGAAACCAGCCCCAGGGGTGTCTGGATGAAGCCTGGAGATGGGCAGGAGGATATGCTGGTACCTGGAGGAAGGGATGCTGGAAGCTGTGCTCCTTGCTTCCTCCACAGCCTTCAGCTTTGAAGTTGTCAGCCCACCTGCAGCAGAGAGATGGAAGGTCAGAATGGCAGCGTGACGGATTCTCCACCTGGCTGGACTCACACTCAGTCCCTATTGATGCTCCTTTTCAAAGGAGCCTGTTGCTATGGTAGGGGTTTTAAGAGAGCAGTTCATCATCTTACAAACACAGAATCACATTACTTGTGTTTTTGCAACTCGTTGAAATCAGATATTAATATTATATTAGTGTTGTTTATACGAAGTGCATTACACCTTTACTCCTCAAAATAAAATTAAAGCCACTGCTTGAAATTTAGTGTATTAAACAAACACATTGTAAAAAAAGAGGTGACTTCTTTTTCTTTTCCTGAGACAAGGTCTCACTATACAATCCAGGCTTGAATTTGAAATCCTCCTGCCCAGGTTCCTGAACACTAAGATTATAGACATGTGCCAAACCTGGCGGCAAATTTTCTCTCTAATACTTGATGATTCTATTTCAATTTGTTTGGCTTCTTTTGAAATCTTTGATCTCTACCAGTCAGTCAAAGGAATCAGTACATGAAAAGTATCAAGAGTCTCTGGTCATCTGCACATGGGACCACACATCTGTAAGCATAGCACTAAAGTAGTTAAGCCAAGTGAACTGATGTGAGTTCAAGGTCAGCCTGAGACACACAGTGAGTTTGAAGCTAGCTTGGGCTATGTGTAGAGGCCTGCCACCAACCAACCTACCTACCAACCAACCAACCTACCAATCAACCAATCTACATCCAACCAACCAACCAACCAACCAACCTACCTACCAACTAACCTACTACCAACCAACCAATCACCTAACCAACCAATCAACCAAGCCTCTTATCTCAAGGGGCATTCAGGCCCAGGAGATGATCACTTGATCGTTCACAGCCCAGAAGGCCCTTTTAATGCTTACCTAAAGCATGTGGCACCTGCCATGGAGTACAAATGCCAGTGAGTACCACCACAGATAGAGATCACCGGTGGAAATAGTCCCCATCCAGCCTAGAACCCTTCCCAGCATACTCCAGGCAGCTATACCCATAATTCTGAATTGTTGCTACCTAAGCCCCAAAGAGCTCCTTTTGACTTTTCTTCCTGCTGGGCTGCTACATCTCCAGACAGCCATTTTCTAACTGGAGATCTCTTTGCCACCTAGAACGACTATGACCTTGTGAATCTTCTTTTCTGGATGACCATCCCAGTCCTTCCTAGTCTTCCGCCCTCCTGGCTGCT